TTTAATCCTGTGAAGTGCTATTTTAGCACTTATTGAAGTTGTGAAGGGTAACTTTAAGGGTATCAAGATTGCCAAGGCTTGTCCTCAGATTTCCCATCCTCTCTTTGCTGATGACCTTCTTGTTTTCTATGCTGCTGACTGTACTCATGCTTGTAGGCTCTTGCACTTATTGATAAGTACAGGAAATTCACAGGGCAGAAGGTTAACTGAGCTAAATCTTCTGTATTCTTCAGCAAGAACTGTTCTAGCTCTGTTAAAAGGGAGATCTGTCAGGTGCTGAATGGAATTCAAGCTCATGAATCCTCTAGATATCTGGGTTTACCTCTGGGTATTGGTAAGTCTAAAAAGGAGGCTTTTGCATTTGTTCTTGATGCTGTTCAGAGGAAATTAGTCAGTTGGAAGAATCGATTTTTATCTTGTGCTGGAAAAGAAGTTTTGTTGAAAGCTGTTATTGACTCTCTTCCAGTGTTCTCTATGTCTTGTTTCATTCTTCCTAAAAGCCTTTGCAAGGAGATTGTTAGGCTTAGTGTTGAATTTTGGTGGGGCAAAGGAGACCAGCATAAAGGGGGTATGCACTTACTTTGCCTAAGGAAATGGGGGGCATGGGTTTTAAAGACATATGTCTGTTCAATGAGGCCCTTATTCTTAAGAAAGTTTGGAGAATACTCACAATGCCTAACCTGCTTGTAAGTAAAGTATTGAAGGGGAAATATTTTCCCAAATGCTCTATCCTTCATGCTTCTAGTAATGGTTCTGCATCTTGGATGTGGTCCAACTGGGTGAAGGTCAGGGATAAATACAGATCATGTTTCAAGTTACAGGTGGGAGATGGCTGCACTACCAATATCTGGGATGATCCATGGCTTGCTAGCACTAGCTCTGGGAGAAGTGAACTTAACAGAAGAAGCAATAACCAGCTGGTGTGGGTGAAAGACCTGATTGAGGAAAATGGGGTTAGATGGAACTCTGAACTGTTAAGGGATCACTTCTCGGATGAAGATAGAAATAAAATTATGCAGGTCAGCCTGAGTCAGGGAAGGAGCAAGGACAAATGGGTCTGGACTTTGGACTCAAAAGGGTTTTTTCCTGTGGCAAATGCTTATTCCCAAAGCATAAAAAAAAAATTTAGAGACATGGATGTGGCTGAGGTAGCAGAACTGCAGTTAAAGTGAAGATGGTGAGAAGGAGGAGTTGGGCTCTTAAGGTGAAAGGTAAGTTAGAGCACTTTATATGGAAGTGTTATAATAATGCTTTACCTACCTGTCTCAGCCTTATGGTTAGGGGGATGAATGTGGATATTGTGTGTTGTTGTTGTGGAGAGGGGCAAGAATCTCTTGAACATTTGTTTTTTCAGTGTGAGAGAGCCAAACTCTTGTGGAAGTTAGCCCCTGTTCATTGGGATTGTTCTGACTCAGAGTCCCAAAATTTTAGATTGTGGTGGAATAATATTTGTTTTGTTGATAGAAGAGTCATTTCAAAGGATAGAATCCAACTCTCTACTTACTTGCTCTGGTGGCTTTGGAAATCACGGAACCTTTGGAAGTTTCAGAATATTTGGATGCCAGTCAAAGCAGTTGTGGATGCAACTGTTAAGGATTGGAAGAAATTTAGCTAGGTCTTCTGTTGAAGTTCAGTGGTTTATCTATCTCTGTATTTTCTGTCTATTGGAGTTTTGTTTTATGTTATTCAAGTGTTGTGGTCTTTAGTGGTTTGGCCTATGAAGTTTGTGCTATTCTATGGCTGCTGTTAGAGGTGTTGGATGCTTGTTGTTTCATATGATGTTTAGGGATTAATCTTATGATGGTATTGGTAGTATCTGGGATAGTATTTAGAGCACCTTTGTGTGACTCTCTTGTGTATTCATTTTTTGGGGTAAGTCGACCTCACGATTTGTATAACATTTATTTGATGTTTATGAGAATCTCCCTATCGTTTTAGAAAAAAAATGTCCTATTTTAGCACCTCATATTGGTCTCTGCTACAGCCTATAAATATACCAATTTCCCTAAGCTTTCACAAGTGAATTCTCCTCAAATTTTCGGCCAACACACACACAAGAGAGAGAGAGAGAGAGAGAGAGAGAGAGAGAGAGAGA